GATACAATCTCTACATATTTCACACACAACTCATTCAGAACTCACCACTTACATCAGAAACTATTTCTTCATGTTTTCTATTCCAGTGTGATGATCACATTTTATAATCTAAATTGTTTTGAATCTCAGTTCCAGATTTTAATCGATTATAATGTGGTGTCATGGACTGCATACCCTTAAAATACACAAAGGTGTTAGTTGTAGAGTTATTTTTTAATGCATACTTATATCAAGTTTTTTTTTTTTTTTTTGCTAATTTGTATGAGATTGGGGTTATTAAATAAAGGTTCGATTGATTCGATAGGAACTCTTGAATGTATTACTTAAGAGATCTTGAGTAATAGTGGATCTAAGAATTTCTTTTAGGGTGGGCCAAAATAAAAATTTATTATACATTACTATTTTTATCCATTAATATTTTTATTAGGGTGGATTAAAATATATAAATTATACATATTAAAATTTAAAAAAAAAAATTTGAGGGTGGGCCATGAAAGTGGCTGGATCCGCCCCTGATCTTGAGTTATAATTTTTTCTCTGTTGTTAATAGGAATAGTCACTAAAACCCTTCCTAGACCCATAATTTTAAGATCTTGAGTTGAGATAGAAGTAAATTAGAGGTCTCAATGAAAGCATTTGGAATGAGGCAAATATTAGACGGACTTTAGTAACTTACGGGCCACAAAGCCAAGCGAAGCCCCCAAAAAAAAGCCCAATTCAGAAAATAACATCACGATATAAGGTATCTTTTATTATTTGGATGAATTCATGCTCCGTTTTGTTGCCTTTTTCCTGGAATGAGAAAAGACTGTAAAAAAATCAGAGGTAGGAGATAGAGAAGCAGAATCAGAATAGCCTAGTCATTGTATAATAACACAAAAAGTGTCCAGGGGAAAGTGAATGTCATTAGTTGAAGCAAACACCAATATTTAGATGTTTATGTGTTGAAGGAAGAGGTTATAAAGAGGCAATTAGTCACAGAAAAAATATGGCATCTCATCATGAGAATTCACTTAAATTTCTTCAACTTTTGAATGGGCAGTTGGCATTTTCTCAGAAAACAAGCATATGGAGTACTGCGCCAACGTAGATCGATGAGGGAGCACATTTATGTTCTTTGGGTCGACTGTCGACATGACATTGACTGAAAACGCATAAAGCTATACAAAGAATCCATATCCCAGTGAATCTTCCAACACGCTTCATTTTATCAAATTAAATTCCTTCTATCAAAGTAAATTCAAGTGTTCTATTACAGCCTGGCGGAATTTACTACTTTTCTTGTACCTTCAATATATCGCTATCCCAGAATGCTATCTTGTTTGATCATCACAGCACTGATTTTCATTCGCTCAACCAAAGCGGGAGAATGTGAAATGGAAAAAGATGATGTTGCATATTTACTGCATGTCAATTTTAATATTGATGCCTTTCTTTCTTTCTTTCACCAATAATTAATAAAATCTTCAATCAACAATTCCATATTTTTTATTCTCAATGATTGGCAAAAAATTTTCTTTTCTTTGATTGTCTTTCATCATCATATACAGCCGCAATTACACAGGCTCAATATTATGTATCGTTTCATCATCATAAGTCACTCACCAAAGCATAAATATGCATCCCTTTCTGCATATATATTATACCTCTTCGATCGATCGTTCAAACTTAATTTCACTTCTTTCAGTGAATGTGTCAACCTCGTTCTGAATGCATTTCGTTGCAAAAATGGGCCATCACTGTAATGGTTTCTTTATCCGGAAAAGGCTGGTTGTGGTTCTGTAGCCTAAATAGGTATAGTTTGGCCGAAATAACTGACTTTCTTTACATGTCAAACTCCAAGTTGCAAGGAGGGACCTCACAGAATAAAATTTTGTTTTCATAGCAATTGAAATGGAACAAATGGGAATCCAAAAGAATAACTTTTTTTTTTTTTTTATCGATAGAAATATCATACATGGATGGTAAGGATTCGAAATATCAGTAGGCTGATGTATCTTCATTATAAACCAACTTTTCTGATGGGTACCTGCCTAAATACACAGCCGTCATTATCAATAAATGATCACCACTTGTCCACCAATAGTCAGGGAAGCTTTTTCTTTAAATTGTTTAAAATGGTTAGAAAAATATTCGGACATATATATGAATTAAGGAGTCCTAGATTCCTTTTTCCTTACCAGCAAGTCTCAAGCATGTAAATTTCTGATAAGTCGCACACAGATAATCTGAATTCTATATTATTTTGTATGATATAGGCTAATAGAGATTTACAAGGAAGAAAGTTAATCTAAAAAAGGAAATCCTGTATGAAATGTTCCTCGCCATTAATAGTTCATCATGAGAATAAACTCTCTAAACACTTGAAGTATTTAAGTAATACTAAGAGTAAAGAATACAGTAACTATGTATCCCTTGAGATGGTTTTGAAACATTTTACATATGATAAAATGGCCAAAACAAAAGTAGGGTGAGTTATGTCTAGATCATAGACTTTTACTTTTGAAATTAGTAAAGTGAATTGATTCCCTATTACCAGCAGCAATAGTTCGAGTGTACATTGTACACATTCAGTATCTGGTCTTGGTAAGAGAAGAATCCAGTGGCTTGACCCAACTCCAACTTGCAGTCCAGCTTGGCCACCAAGATAAAAAGAAAAATATGGTCATGCATATAGCTTCTAATAAGAAAGAACAACAAAAAAAAAAAAAAAAAAAAAAAACTTCAGAGATAAATTCAACCTACTTATAATGGACGTGGATGATAAGGATTCTATATACCAAATCATCTACCTGAAAGGATCACTTCTTTATACATGTTCCTCAGAAAGTTAAGCAGCTTACTATGAATAAGGTCAACCACAAACTATATTTCACCTTTTATGCAATCCTGATGACCATAAACCCTTTCAACTATACATTTAAAAATTTCGAATTTTCGCATTTTCACAGGTGTGAATCGGTTTTATGATTTAACCACAGCCAATTTTCCAATTTGTTACAGGTCAATAGTTTATCCAGCTTTTGAGAGAGAGGAAATAAGCATTGGGTACTGATAAATATTTGTTGCCTTCTGCATGATCTGATGCTATACTTTCTCCAGTGATTCAGAGATCAAACATACTAAATCACTGACGGCTTACTTATTATGACCAAAGCTACATGCATCTAAGTTCTAAGGAAAATGATAAACTGTTTGTTGTTACAAATATCGATGTTTTTACAATATATATAGTAATTCAGATGTGTACTTATGAATATTTATAACATCTTGTTGCATGAACTCTCGCTTTCTTATTGCATATCCGATAGAATAATTGCATCTGTAGGCTCTTGTAGACTGTTAATTGGTATCACATTTAAACATTTTGCTGTGACCCAAATTAAAACCAGCAATGGCATAGTTAATCAAGCTGTGATCTAGAAGCTTATCAGCTTCTAGTCCGAGATACCGTGTTATTAATCCCAATCCCCCAGCCGAAAAGATTTAAGTACTATATATACAGTATATGCTGATATTCACGATTTAAGTACTATATATACAGTGTCAATCGCAATCCCCCAGCTCAAAATATTCGTATTTATTATTATAAAGAAATTATATAAGCCTCATTATTGTTTCACACTATTATTAACTCAAGAATCTAACACCAAAAAAAATATATATAACAAACAAATTTTCAAATAAAGTACACACTAGAATTTCTGAAACAAAAAGATTTATACTCATTATAGTTTGAAGCACACTGCTACATTTTAATTAATTAAAAGAGTTAAAGAGTTGCCTGCTTATAAGATATGAGCTAACCTGTTCTCTGAAAAAAAAAAAACATTTGAAGTACAAATATTGTACGTGAAGATCTTTCATCCAGCTGCACGAGTTTGGAGTTTTGTTGAGAAGTGACTAATTAACAAGTGATAGAGCAGAATCTCTGATGTTTGAGACTAAACCAAAAATACAGAAAACGCCTAGAAAAATAAGGGTAATCCTGAAGTCATGGCGTGGCATCTGTTGAGCCCGTGAGCACGAAGGTACAACCATTACAGGAAAACTTTTATCCACACCTGTATCATTCTATCCAAAAACTGATTTATGCTGAGAAAAACTAATCAACTTAACAGGTTCAGAAGATTATTTACTAATAAAAAGGAATCCACCATATGGACTCAGTACTAATTGCCTGTCGTCAAGTCCACCTAATTCAATCTATACCGATCACGTCGACAGTGTATTTAATTTGAAATAGTTGTCGACCAAAAATGCAACTTTCCCTTTTACAGTGCCGCAGCTTACAAGAAAAGAGAAGCCATCCAGCTATAAATTTGTCTTTCTCACAGAGTACAGATATAGCTTCAATTAGAAGCAACTTTTCTTACCTGGAATTACATGTGAGTAAATTAATTATTCAGGAGTCCCCAAGTGAACAACCTCAAGAAACTTTGGGTAGTTCAAAAAAGCTGTATTCAAGAATAAGTTTAACTGTTGATGATTTTGAGTTTGCCTTCAAATTAACATATATATATATATATATATATAATCAATGTCATAGCTGGCAAAATAATACTCATGTAACTATAATCACGCGGGAGACGTCATAAAATGAATTGAAACATTGGATTGTCACATGTAAGTAACAGCCGGTGCATAAAAAGAAGATCAAGTAACATCAACCACATAGAACTAGCGGTAATGGAATATTTACAGGGAGGTCAAGGCCAACTTTTCTTGGATAAATAAAAACCGGCCTGAAATTATGTTGCTTCGAGTTTAAGCATATAATTAGCAAACCCATGAAAAAAACCTGGAATTAAAAGTAAAAAAAAAGAGCTAGTAGTTTTTTACCCATTGCCGCTGCTTTGCTAGGAAAGCAACGGCTGAGAAAAAGAAGCAAAAGCCCTCAGGCCCACCGTCCCATTTTTCTCTCTCTTCTCTAGCTACCTTACCTCCCTCTGCTATATAAAAGGAGTGGCAACTACACTCTCTTTGCTCACACCCATCTCCTAAACCAAATTTCTGTAGATCCTTCTCTTTGTGTTCGCTGCTTAATTATTAGTTTTCTTAATTAGCTTACTTAAATTTGTGCAATGGCCTCAAGCTCAACATGGACTACTAAGCAAAACAAGCTGTTCGAGAATGCTTTGGCCATTTATGACAAGGACACCCCCGACCGCTGGCAAAATCTTGCCAGGGCCGTGGGTGGCAAAACTGTGGATGAAGTGAAAAGGCATTATGAGATGCTTGTGGAAGATGTTAAGCAGATTGAGGCTGGCCAAATACCTTTGCCCAATTATAAGAAAGCTGGAGGGAGCAACAAGGGATATAATTTCATGGATGAAGAACAAAGGTACTACCTATCTATATAGCTCTCACTGCCATATACGTATAGTATACTCATTATCTTTTTAAACATGAATATAAATAAAATGATCCTTTTGTTTTCATGCAGGCTGAAGGGTCTTAGACTCGGTGAAGCATGAAACTATAGCAGAATCCATGGAATAAAGATCCATCAACAAAAATCAAACGTGATTTGCTATATAGATCTCCTTCTTGCTTTCTCTTTCGTTCGTCGTGATAATTATAATGTAACATATTTCCTTTCTGCAATTTCATTTGTACCGCCGAGGAGGAGTCATTGACTAATGATTCCAACTTCCTCCTTTGTAGTTTGTATGCTCTTTAATCATCTGTGCAATAGCTTATTATAGTAGTTAGTAGTGTCATTTAATGGACTTAATTTGTTCCCTTACATAGATTATCCATGGAAAGAGAATAAATATTCATATAAATAACACAAGACTGGGTTTCATATACATATATTAAATGAAACAGAAGATCTCTGATTTAAATTCACAAAGAGGAAACAAAAGATCTTAGATTTAAAGTCTTGAGGGGTAGCTGATAGAACTCATCATTCTGGAACAAACTAGTTTTATATATCATGATCATACAGTATCATACAAGTACGACAGATGTCATAACTATGCTGAGGCGTTCGATCTCTCTGTGATCTTGTATTGGAATTATGTATTAATATTATTATAACATGAATATGAAGTAAAAGGGTTTCTGGTGATCCAATTAATTATCAGGAATCATTCTTGGCGATAAGAGTTCCAACCGTCCAAAGCAGACAAAACAAATTGAGCTACTTTTGGGAAGAGAAAGAAGGAAGATAATGGGCGTGCAACATTCCTTTATTAGACAAAAAGATTAAACAAAATCATTTTCAGTTGACTTATTTTACGTAATATGATTTCATAAGGAAAAAGAGAGAACCTGTATATCTTTAATTTGTCGGATGAGTTGGGATCATATGTTAAAAATAATCCATCAATTTCTTCAGTTTGGCTGCAAATAAACATGCATAATCAGCCATAATCAATTAATATTCCTTTGTCTCATTTGCCAGTTCATGCGATACAAGCATATGTAACTCTTCATATTCCAGCTCTTCTTCCTTTCTTGCTTTCGCTAGTTTGATATTTTACCCACACGCAAATTAATGTATTATAGTCTCCATAATTTCCCTTCTGCCAGTCTTGAGGGAATATATCTATCTCACTCTTTGGACATTTTTCAATATACAGTAGACCTATTCAAATTTATCATTGAGTGGGGAAGAAAATTGGTAAGAGAGAGACTCAGTTAAGTTAAATCATAAATGGGGATTTTTCTTTCAAGGTTTATAAAAGCTTTAGCCACAAGAATAATGTGTAAATTAATTGAAAGCATGAAACGAAAAGAGACGAATTCATTTCAAGGGAAACGGAATTACCATATTATCCTCTAGGGTTTATAGAAACTTATAATATTATTTAATATTCGAGTAAAGGAAAAAATCATGTACACGGGACATATTCCTGTTTTCTTTTATTGCCCTGTTTTTGTGTTCCTACTCGCCATTCATCTGACTCACTCACTCACTCGCGGTCCCGACAATTGAGAAAGACATGGAAGCCAGTGCGTCTCCCTTCAAGGTATGCAGAACCACTTTCAACTCTGTGCTTTATTTACTTAACTTAGATTTTGTCTTTGTTGTTTTTAACACGTGTTCTGGCTTTAGATAATATTGGGCTCGTCTTCAATGCCCCGTCGAAAAATTCTTGCTGAAATGGGATATGAATTCACGATAATGGTACCTTTTATTTATTATTAAATCTTTTCTGTTGGATATTTAGTTAAGTTACTGACTTCTGATACTAGAAAGTTGACTCCAATTATCGTTACATAGGCTGCTGATATTGATGAGAAATCCATTCGAAAGGAGACGCCTGAAGAGTTAGTAATGGCTATTGCTGAGGCAAAGGTGAACTGTTTTATTTATTTTGTGAATATTCTGGCACTTTGAAGTATAATGTCATGAATCGTGCTTTTAACTTCAACCCGAAAAATGTTTGATTGAGAAATTAGAGGTATAATATTCTCTTGTGATGTTTATTTATCTCTTAGGTCCCAATCAAATTATAATATTAATGTCATGACCAGCTTGTTTTAGACAGTTTTTGTAATTAATTTAGAGTTATGAGGTCAAGTTTTGATTTTTATTATTGTACGGTCTATTTCTGACATGAATCGAAGAGGGAATTTAGTTGAAGCTTCTGTCATTGATTTGAGTGTGAATTGCATATCAGGCTGATTCCATCATATCGAAACTGCAAACTACGGACAGTCAACCCATGAATGCTGAACCTACAATTTTGATTACAGCAGACACAGTATGTCTTTTTTTCTTATTTTAAAATTATAGATGATACGCCTGGATAAACCATTTTGGTTTATGAGGTCTGCTATGACCAAGTGCCATTTATGGATCGAGGACACATGGACTCTTGATGAGGGGAAGTTGTATCGTTTGTATTGCTTAACTAAGTTAGTAGAGCCATTTTGATTGAAGTTTTCCTTTTTTTTTCTGTGTGTATGTATGATGTTCAACAAATAATTTAGACTGTTTGTTGTTTTGGACTTTTGGGTACAAGCAATGATGCATGTCAGAGAAATCACAAACCTTGCCCTGCGATTAAATTATCTTGCTAATTTTTGGATAAATGTTCGGGCATGCAAGTTAACAATGTCTTAACTTATAATGAAATGTATATGCAATGTCAATAACAATAGGCAATATCACTATGGTGATTAGAAGCTCAATTTGGACTCAAGTAAGATACTTGTGTGTAAGTTCCCTTATCTGGGATGGACTAATGTGCATTGGTTCTATCAGTATTACTAACATATGTTATTGCTATTATAGTTGCTGTTGTCTCAGTATATACTATTAGCTACTATCTGTAGTCAAACATTTACTCAGGTACTTATCTTAGCTGGCAAAAACTTCTCCACAGGCAGAAGCCATCCTAAACAAGCTCCCCATTGGTGACCATGTAAGGGAAGCTGAGCCAACATTATTAGTTACTGGTGATCAAGTACAAATCAATTCTGCCCATATATTTCTGTTTAAAATTCTTCGATTACTTGTATCTTAGATGTGTGTTATGCATTTCAAGTTGTTAGACTTCAGACCCTTTGTAACTTCCCCTACCCTTCAGAAAAAAAGTAAAAGAAGGAAAAAAAGAAAGGAAAGAAATACACCCATAAGAGCAGAGAAGTTAAAATTAAAGCATATGAGATTTCAATGGCAATTTGAAGTTCAAAAATTTAATACAACAGTTTCTATGGTTAGATAAGCCTGTGTTGGAAGATGCTGTTGGTTCAGTTTAAATGAAACATTTATTGATGCTAAATACTAGTTATAAAGAGTCGATCTTTCCTTTCTTATTTATCCCCAAAATCCTTTTTGTCACACATGTAATGTGGTTGTATAAACTTAAGTGTAGGTCACTTGTCTGAAATCAGCAGTTATTTAGGCAATTTTTTATTTATTTTTTTTGTATAGGAAATGCAGAAATGTATATTAAGGAAAAAACTTACAAAGTGGATCAGAAATCCACTCCTACAAAAGTAACCCATCTAAAAAGGGGCTAAAGCGTTAGCTTTACAAGTACTATCATGAGCCTGTGCAAAAAGAAACCCCCCCAAAAAACAAGAGACACTATGGCATGGACTAGTCCTAAAAACAACAATTTTCTTATTCAAGCTATCACTACCTATTATTATCATTTTTGGTGTTGCTTCATGGCATCATAGGAGATCTGCTGCTTGTTTTTTCTTGCTCAATGTGCTAGCCTGCTCTTTGTATCCTAGAACATAAATGGCCTCTTGGTGATAGGACATGCTTGTAAAAATTAAGAATAGTTCAATTATGTTCCTTTCATGGAAAGAACTCAATCGTTGTTATGTCTTACTGTTATTATTAAATGATCTGGAGGTGGTGGTCTATGAAGGTGTGATCAGAGAAAAACCATCCAGCAAGGAAGAAGCAAGGCAATTCATAAAAGGTCTGCTTAATATTCATTGCTCCTGTCATTCTTGTTTGTATTCTTTCAAGGCTCTGGTGATGTATAAACCTGAATTGCAGGTTATTCTGGGGGGCAATGTGCAACAGTGGGATCTGTTCTTGTTACAAACGTTAAAACTGGATTCAGGAAAGGAGAATCGGACAGGGTGGAGGTACCATTAGTTTCTATTTATTAACTCATTGTCTATTTTGCAAATTTTTAGTGAGTTTTCTTTTTTCATCTATTGAGCAAACAAGAAACTTTTAGAAACGACTCAAATCATCCTCTGATGCCAATGCCTGGGAAAAAAGAAATGGGAAAAAAAGAAAAAGAAGAAGAAACTAATAAATAAATCATAATAATAAAGAGTTACAGGGTTTTGTTATGCTCTTCTCTAGTGTTGTTAAATACCTTGATAATGAATGTACAGTATATTGTTGTTTTGAGAGAGTAAAAAATGTGTGAAATTGTCCATGAGAATTTAGTTTGTTTTGCTGCAGAACCAACTTTTGGGTTCATAATAGTTAATACATGATTTATATTGAATAAGGTCTGTGGGAAGAGCCCTAGGAAGTAATGAAGTTATTTTGGGCGTCTTCCCTTTAAAAATTAAAAAAAAAAAAAAAGTTATTGTAGGTTGTCTCTTGGCTGACCCTTTATACTGCAATCTGTTTTTACATGGTTCTGTTTTGAATCTTCAAGATGGAACTCTATAAGTTGATGCTGCATGCAAGATACTTAATGAAGGTCATATTCGTTGTAGGAACCTTAGTTTTGTGCATTTGTTGCATGTACTTAATAAGTGCTAATGATTAGAATTGTTTTTGTTTAAACAATATATGTATATGGCTATTTGCCCGCAGTTTTGTTTTTCAGTGAAAAAAAAAAAAGAAGAAAAAAATTTTGCAGTGAATTGGGAGGCAAAGAATTGTATTGATTTCTCCAACAATCCATTTGATTGTAATATCAGGAAATTTAAGTTATTTGGTTACGCCTTGCAGATCAATTTCCATGAGATACCAGATGAAACAATTGAGAAGCTGGTAAAAGTCATTTTTGTTGCAAACAATAGTTTCTTTTCCATCAGTTATAGTCTTTAACTATTCCTTCATTCTTGTTCAGATTGAGGAGGGGGTTGTGCTTAACGTTGCTGGGGGACTTATAATTGAACATCCTTTGATACTGCCCTGTGTTAAACAAGTGGTTGGTTTCTTAATCTCTACCCTATAATTATACATCCCGATAGGCATTCACGCAAGGAATTACAAGCTGGTTCTCAGAACATGCTTATGTTTCTGGGATAGCTTCTTAGTAGCTTGTTAAGTCTGTTAATTTCAATTAACCATTTACTTATATTTTCAACCTTTGATAGATGAATGACATTGATATTATTTGCAGGTAGGAACGATGGATAGTGTGATGGGACTCCCCAAAGCCCTTACTGAGAAACTCATAAAGGAAGCTCTCTAACTGAGCCAAGTGCAATTTTTTTATGTTTATGATATTTACCCAATTGGCACCCGTTGTTTTCCTGTGCGGCTGTGCCCCGTTATATAATGAACTAGTTATCTGAATTTAAAAAACAGCTGTTATGTTATGTTAACCGTCTGTGACATTTCCAAACTAGTTAAATGAAATCAGTGTCTTAACACCAACTAGTCATTACCTGTCACTTTTCAATTTCAGCATATTGGTTAGGTTGACTGATTTTGGAGAATTTTTGTTCGCTGCTGCAGAAGATAACGTGAGATTGACTTGACTGATAGCTAGCGATCGGTAAACATCTCTATTTTCTGTTTAGATCCACCTTTTATTCTAGACTAATACTACATTCATAAACACTTCTTATTAACTTTTTCAAACACTTTTCATTGACTTTTTCTCATCAGCGTTATGTATCAGTTCACATGAGTCTTGTTTGTCCAATAATAGATCCCGTCTGATCACGTCAATCACAAACTCTTACATAGGGTTAGTGAAAGGGGTTTGTTAGGTCAGTATTATTGTTTATTCTAAGTCTCAAACAGAAAATTGTATAAAAATTATAGATTTTGTATTAATTTAATAAAAACATAAAAGATTTACTTGTAGAAAATTCTATCACGTATACACAGAGAATAATAATTAAAAAAAAAAAATATCTATACAGCTGTTTATAGTGAGAAATCATCCTTGTCTCTCATCCAACTCACTGGTAAAAATCCAAATGTGAGAAGAGCAGAAGGGCATGTGAGAAGAGCAGAAGCTAGAAACGTTGACTTATAGTTGTGGACTGGAGAATAGAGCCTAGTTAATTGTTTTCCATATGATTTGCACTAATGTAGGAGAAGCTAGTTCTGGTTCAATATTTAATTGTATTATGGGTCAATTCCATCATTTCCCTGTGAAATTTCATTTTGAAAAAAATAGCCTAATTCACTTATCATAATCAATTTATCTTTTATAACAATCAGAATTGGCTTTTACAAGTAGTGTTCATTATCTGTACATGATCTCAGTTAGCCCAATTGGTACACTTTCAGTCTTCTTACAAGACGATCATGAATTATTGATTATAAGACGGTGACTGATACTAGAAATATTGATTATTATCCACTACAATTGACTATAGGATGGTGACTGATAACTACAACTCAATGATGGGAGTTTTTTTTTTTTTTTTTTTTCCCCCTCAAGATTGAGCTCCTTGGCTAATCTTGTTGCCCGGATTAGACGTGTCATCTCTCTGATTAGAAATTTAGAAGTTTATTAATGGATGGATGATTTAATGATAAAAGAACAAAATGAAGTTTCATGAGCTCCTAAATTCGAGTCTCTTTAAATATTAATAAGAATAGAGATAGCTATTAAGTTTTTTATCCGATTAACTGTTCTAAGGTCTCGAAGGATTAGTTAAGGAGTACACAAGTTGGCCTAGACACCTCCCGTGATACATAAATAAATAAAATGTTTATTAATGTTTCATGCTCATATTTATTTTCAATTCTTGCCTTGAGACACTTCCCGTCGATATGTGAAGAAATAAAACATGTGGTGACATAGCAATATAGACTGAAAGGAAGAACAAGTTGTCGGCGGGAGAAACATGCCTTCATTTATGCTGCTTAGGAAAATTGTTACATATTTGCATCATGCAGTTTTGAAGGATAAATTTCAAAATTGAGAAGAAAAAAAATTTGAAAAATGAATAATACAATATAAATGAAAAAGATGAGAAATCATCTGAAGGACCGCTGAATTTCTTCCAGAGCTTTCCCTTTTGTCTCAGGGACCAAAAAGGTCACGAATGCCACAGCAAAAGCACTAACGACCATGTATATGGTAAAGGTTCCTGTTAAAGGTTAAGGCAATCCTAGTAAGTAATAATAAAATGACAGCAATAAAGGGGTTTTTACACTAGCCAAAACTGTTATTCTGTAAGGCCTAAATTTTGTTTTGTGTTATAGCATTGTTAATACGAGGCAGAGAGAAAAACAAACCTCCACTGCTCCAAGTCAATAGCAAGTTTGCAGTCATTGTAACCAGCCAGGCACAATCCAGTTGGAAAGAGTAGCTACGCTCCACCAAGGCCCTTGATATTGATTGGAAGAATCTGCATTGACATGATAAGAGATTATGAGTAGTAACATAAGCAGCAATCTTTCACAGGTAGAAAAGCTTGCACGGCTGCTGCACCCCAGACACGGTTTGTCCTAATTAAACAAAAATATTACAACAAATTTCATGGTTTGACTATAACTTGCAAAGTACATGGTGCACAAGATGTGTATAGAGATATAAAACCAAGTTTTGTAACAAAGCAAGAATCTGAAATCTCAATCCTACTTAGCCAATGGGATGGGATGCCATACAGCCACAAATTTGAAGGTTAAATGAAAGCAAGCATCAAAATGTGTTAGAGATAATCAACTATACTTTCATTACAAATCAATCATGCTTCTGGTATCTAGCTATCAACAGGAAGTCAATTAGCCACTTGCATCAACAGGAAGTTGCGTTTGCCACACGGTACATATATGATGTCAAGTATAATACTCATGGCTTCCAACAAAGAAGAGGCTTCATACTAGAACTTTGGACCATAATAACCAGTCCGGTTGTCTTCCAAACAGTACCATGAGTTTTGCAAGGCTTAAAATTGACATTCAAGAACATTTGACTTCTTTCCTACCATTTTAAGTTACCAAAGATAATGGAAAATTTTTAAATGAGTCAAGGTGGTGCAGCTCCAAATCTCATGAATTTTTGCCAATGAATATATTATATATATATATGATGGAGCGATTTGGTACCTCAGACATTATAACCCAAGGAACGGGGCCCATCCCAAGAGAGAAGAAAATTATCATGGCCTAAATGAGAGAGAAACAGGTTAGGCAAATAGTTAAAACATTATCAAATAAAGAACAAGAATCAGAGTATCATGTCCTGAAAAAGTAGGCATACCACAACTCCAACTACCGAAAATATGCCCAATATGCTATAAATACCAGAATCTTCCGATACGAAATCCTGGGACCAATTAACAACGAAATTTCAAATCAGGGATCATGGATCAACTAGAAACAAACACAAACTTTTCAAAAGGGATTTTGGTCTTCCCAGAATTATGTAAGAATGATTTCCATTACTGGTGCACGGACTTTCACGTGCAAGTCAATATTCATTTGTGAACAAGATCTAACCATGTACCTTTGCATAGAATGCAGCTGCAACAATTAGGAGGCTCGCTGTCATTCCACCAGTGGAAATCTAAGGACAAGAAAAAGTTAAATATTAACGAACTCTTAAGCCTCCAAATAGATGTCTAATGACTGATAAAAGAATATTGCATAAACTCACAATAAGAAGAAGCCGACGGCCTGCTTTGTCCACCAACCATGTAGCTACTGCAGTAGCAATGACCTAAACAATATAGATATTTTGTTGTGATTTATGAATAAAAAGAAGTCTGATGCCACACTAGAAAACAGATTGGAAAAAATAGCTTTGTATAAAAAGAAAAAAGTTTTCATCAAGCTATACCTGAATAGCTCCTATCCCTAAGGTAGCCACGTTACCTGATGTGATCCCTGTTTAAAATTAAGACAACTCTTTAAGCCATTTGAAATTAGGATAAACTGGTTTAAGGATGTTATTGCACAAAGCATAATAAAAAGCAACTGTTATTCCATCCCATCCAACATATATGGGGACATGAAAAATTAGATATTATGGGCTACTAATGGATATGAAGTAAACTTATTCCACCAAAGAACCTGAAAACATTGAAAGGCAATTAAGGAAAGTATATTCTATATCAGCAAAGTTGCTTGGCACAGCTTTATAAGTTCTTGGATTCTGTAACAAACTTCGGAAGGTATAACCATATACTTTGAAGCACAAATTCGAATCCCTGAGTAACCCAACTTCTTATTTAAGAAAAAAAAAAAAAAAAAATTTTTTGTAGGTTTAGACATTTCCTTTTGATACAAAAAAACGAACACAACACTCCAATAGCTTTGATGTAACAGTTTTATAGAAAGCCTACATGGAAGATAGAAGAACAGTCTCTTTCTGCTTACCGGCAGATTCAAAAATAGTACTGGAATAGAATATAACGGCATTTACTCCACTGAGCTGCTGAAATATAAGTAGTCCAATTCCAATCTGCAGGGCCAATTAGTTATAAACAATTAGGTTCAATTATTAAACGATGTTGAAGGTCAGGCCAAATCAAATCAAAGAAAAATTTTTTTTCTAGCAATAATTAATGGGATGTGATCTTTTAACTTAAATATATGACTTAAATTGAAACACAAATTCATGACCATTAATTTATTGCAATCCAACGGATATTAGATGGAAGTTGGAGGTGGTAATTTTTATTGTCACTTCATCAACTTTTAAACCGTTGGATTGTTATGAATCAACGGTTGAGAATTTGTATTAGCAATTTAAGTCATAAATTTAAGTTAAAAGATCTCAACCTATAATGAATACCGTCAAAGGTCGAAAATATCTTTTCTGTTTGAGTTCTGCCATTCGGACAGTTGTTCTTCTGGTTGATGATGCTACAGCCCTCTGCAAGAAGCAAATTCAAGACATCTGAGTTAGTATTTCGGAGAGATGAAAACACTCACCCAGGGAATTTCATAACCAGATTGCATAAGTAAAAGCAATGATCACTTTGCCTAACTTATGATGTAAAACAAGTTCAACTCAGTTATTGTTACCTTTATTTCATTCACTTCAACTGATATATCAGTTTCAAATCCCCGCAAAACTTGCAAAGAAGATTCAAACTCTTCTGTCATACCCATTTTTGCCTAAATTAATGGAAGAAAATTGAACTTGCATCATGAAACAATAATAATGTCTGCAATTATAATCAATAGGCAACCTCTTTTATGAAGCTTACCAGCCACCGTGGAGACTCTGGAATGAAAAACAGGCCAGGTATCAATATTAAACATGGCAATATTCCTGAAAAAAGAAAGAAAAAGATGGCAAAGTTCTGTCATCTGAAGCAATAATAAATGATGGCAACAATACTAAAATCACAAGTTGCAGAAATGTTTTCCTCCTAGAAGAGTAAAGAGTATCAGCATGATATTAAAGTTTCAAAGTTCTAACAATAACAACATGACTTGACAATGTGACAGAAAAAAGGAAGGATTTTAGAATATAGGTATTTTGTTGAACACCCAGAAAGAATTGCAGATATTCGCCGAGAAATTGTGCTTCCTAACTGGCACCCAGTTAAACTCTGTCAACAGCGAACGACTTTTATAATAATTTTGAAGAATTGTGCTATAATTAAAATGCCTTTGATATTGGCTAACGAGAAGCAATTAGGCAAAAAAGATACAGTCCTGTCCTATTCAATTAAAGTAACATGATCCTGGAATTCAAACAGTGAGAATTTAGAAACCAATACGTTAAGGGTAGTAAGAATCTTTGGTTGTCATTGCTCATCTACAAAGAACTATAGCCAGTATGATACACTTCTTCTCTAATATACCCTTTTTAAAAGATGGCAAAAGATTTCATCCATAATGGGGATAAAAATATTTCCAGACTGGAGTTGATAGACTTAAAAATTACCTAGTACTGCAAGTATTCTCCATTGAACAAAAAGTCCCAGCAAATAAGCCAGCATTATTCCAATGGTGACAGAGAGCTACACAACAAAATGCATTTTGTTCAAGTAATTCAGCAGCGATTTGAGTTTATTTTTTATAACACCAAATCATATTTGCTATAGCAAGCAAAAAACAACCAACCTGATTCACTGAACCCAAGGCCCCTCTCAAGTTCTGAGGCGCTATCTCAGCTATGTATACGGGCACCTAGAAAAGGCCAACAAAACGTATATCATCAACTGGGTTTTACACAAATGTTTAACTGAATAACACCAAATCAAAGCGCAAGAATTACCGTATAAGAGAAAATTCCTACACCAAAACCTTCCAACAATCTCCCCAAGTAAAGAAAAGATGAATCCTTCACAAAGCAGCAATATAAATATTAGTTTATACTCATGCTAATAAAAATGGTAAATAGTCAGAAAACTCACTTTGGCAAAAGATATTATAAGCCATCCTATGATATTAGGAATCGAAGCAATCATTAAAGACTGCAAATAACACAAAACAGCAAAAATTCAGCTATCAACTAGTTAAGAGAAGAAATAAACCATAAAAAGATAAAAAATGAACGCTTATAAGCTAATAAAGCACTTATGTCCTACCCCTTTTCGCCCAATATACTCAGCAATCTGACCACTAGCTATTGCCCCAACCATAGCACCCACATTAGATAAAGAACCGAACCAAGAAAACTGTAACAAGAAACCATATCAGGGACCAGATATGAAAATAAAACAAATAAAAAACAGGTTGAAATCTAAAGCCAAAGAAAATTCTCACCTCCGAAACAGAGAGTCCAAGATCTTCGGTGATTGCCTCTTGTGTAGGTGATGAATAACCAGACTACAACAAAATCCAAAACAACCACAAACAAATACTAAATCAATCAAGAGCTTCATTTCTCAGTAAAAAAGTGAAGAACAATTTTATTTTATTTTTTGAGCTACAGATAAAGTTGCCTACGGTGAAACCGAATTGGATAGGACCCAAAGCCACAATAAGAACGCAAGCCAAAACAGAGACGGAGCTATCACGAATGACCTGAGAAGACCCCATCATACTGGATTGCCTTGAACCCATACGATACCAGCTCCCGGTGTGCAAGAATGGTTTCCGTAAATTTGCATCTTCAGTTTCTTCTCTGAAACTCATTTTCTCTGTTATTGACTAGCAACAAAAAAAAAAAAATCAAATTTGAGTAGCGCTCGACCAGACGCCTATTAGGGAGATTGTATATTAATACTACAGAGTTGAAACAGTTGGACTTTGGCTGGTACTGAGCAGTAAACAAACAAAGTTAATATTAGGAAGAGAGAGATTAAGAGAGGAGAAAAAAAATACCAAATATATGTTGTGTTTGTCTCGGTCATATGATTAACGTCTTGTGCCCTGTTGGCAACTCACGACTGGTAAGAGACTGTTTATTCAAACCCAACTCAGCTTTTAACAATTTTCTCTGTCTCATTATCGTCACAAAAATCCAACAAATTAGCTAACCCCTCTGATGTTCTTGTGGTTAATAGATATTTCTCGTGTTTTAAAATCCAAATCATGAGATAGTAGAAGGTCTTTTTGTAACGTTTCCACATCATTTATTTATTGTTTTTTCTCTGATTGCGATCTACAAAGTAGTTGCTACCGGCGTCTCACATTGTGAACAGCATTACCACTCATCAATCTTTCATTCCAATGTATCCACTATCCAACTTTAAGTTGACTGAACAACAAATACTTTTTTCTGTAAATTTGCACTAATATTGTTATTTATGATAATTTTTTTACCTCAAAATCAAATAATAATTCATATTTGTCATATTTCACAACTGTTGGTATCTCAGAAATATTTTCCATTTAATATAAAATGCGTTCACGTGATTGTGATTAACAGATCTTAAGTAGTTTAAGGATCCAGTCCAACAAAGAGATGTTAGAGTTTGAAATAGCTATTTTTAGCAATATAAATAACGTTTTTAAATAAATAACTTATAATTAAATCAAAATAGCGGTTAACTTTTTTGAGTTTTCAAGTTATTAATCACCGACACTTTTACTTAATCGGCTAATCCCTTGAAAAAGGTAATTGCCCCCTTCGCTGTCGTAGCTTCAGTGAACTACATTTTCGTCCTTGTAGTTTATCTTTTAAGGACAACTCTTTAAGAAACTAACAAAATGATCCAAGGGGTGAGCAAGAAATCCGGGTAGAATCGCAACCGACGAGTACCTGGGGTTCCAATTCTGATTCCTACCGAAACTGACATGGAAATGGTCGATTCCAGTTCCAAAAAATTTGGAACTGTCACTGTACGATTTCGGTTTTGGTTCCACCACTTTAGGAACCAGAACCGAGACCAAGTCCCAATACCCAAGGTGGAATCACGGATACTTAAGGTGTATGTGTAATTTTTGGAAACTTTTAAGGGTGTACTTAATTTTTATAGGATATATTGTTATTTTTGTGAATAGTAGGGGGTATTCAAATTTTTTTAAAAATGGGTTCGGATTCTAGCTATTAAGGAACCAGAACTGGCCAGTTCCAATTTCGGTTCCTTGGAAAAAGGGCAGGTCCCGGACCAGATCACCCCACAGTTGATACACCTCATTCCTCATATTCATTTAAACATAATCCATACTAAAATTACCCATCGGTCAAACCAAATCTCATTTCTTTCTCCACCGTAGCTGATCACCACCACCAAATCATGCCTTCATTTATGGTGATTGGGAAAAATGTTAATGCTACATATTCATAATGCAATACTGAGAAATCATTTCAAAATGGGAATAGCAGAAATTCCCTGCTATGGGGAAAAAAATATAAAATTGAAAAGATGAAACATCATCTGAAGGAGCGCTGAATTTCTTCCAGAGTTCTGCCTTTGGTCTCAGGGACCCAAATGGCCGCGAATGCCACAGCAAAAGCACTGATGACCATGTATATGGTAAAGGTTCCTGTTACAGTTTAAGGCAGTCGTAGTTAGTAATAATAAAATAAAAGCAATAAAGGTGTTTTCTCCATTAGCCAAAAACTGTTATTCATTCTGTCAAGTAGGCCTTTCTTTTGATTGCCACACTGTCTGTCATAGCATTGTTCATATGAGGCAGAGAGAAAAACAAACCTCCAGTGCTCCAAGTCAATAGCAAGTTTGCAGTCATCGTAACCACCCAGCAAAAAAACCAGTTGGAAAGAGTAGCTATGCTTCCAGCAAGGCCCTTTATATTGGGAGGAAGAATCTGCATTTGAAACAAACATAAGCAAGACTCTGGATATAGAGGCGATTTGGTACCTCAGACATTAAACCCAAGGAACGGGGCATCCCAAGAGGAGAAAATTATCATGGGCTAAATGAGAGAGAAACAGGTTAGGCAAGTAGTTAAAACATTATCAAATAAAGTAAACAAGAATCAGAGATATGTCCTTAAAAGTAGGCATACCACAAATACAGCTACCGAAAATAGCCCAATATGCTATAAATACCAGAATCTTCCGATACAAATCCTGGGACCTTAACAATGAATTCAAATCAGAGATCATGGATCAACTAGAAACAAACACAAACTTTTCAAAAGGGATTTGGTCTTCCCAGAATTATGTAAGAATGATTTCCATTACGGTGCACGGACTTCACGTGCAAGTCAATATTATTTGTGAAACAGATCTAACCTGTACCTTTGCATAGAATGCAGCGCACATAGGAGGCTCGCTGTCATTCACCAGTGGAAATTAAGGACAAGAAAAAGTTGAATATTAATGAACTCTTAGCCTCCAAGTAGATGTCTAATGACTGATAAAAGAATATTGCTTAAACTCACAATAAGAAGACCGACGGCCTGCTTTGTCACAAACATGTAGCTACTGCAGTAGCAATGACCTAAACATATAGATTTTTTTGTGATTTATGAATAAAAAGAAGTCTGATGCCACACTAGAAAACAGATTGAAAAAATAGCTTTGTATAAAAAGAAAAAGTTTTCATCAAGCTTACCGAATAGCTCCTATCCCTAAGGTAGCACGTTACCTGATGTGATCCCTGTTTAAAATTAAGAAAACTCTTTAAGCCATTTGAAATTAGGATAAACTGGTTTAAGGATGTTATGCAAAAACATAATAAAAGCAACTGTATTCCATCCCAACATATATGGGGACATGAAAAATTGATATTTGGGCTACTAATGGGATGAAGTAAACTTATTCCACCAAAGAACCTGAAAACTTGAAAGGCAATTAAGGAAAGTATATTCTATACAGCAAAGTTGTGGCACAGCTAAGTTCTTGGATAAAGAACTTCGGAAGGTATAACCATATACTTTGAAGCAACAATTCGAATCCTGAGTAACCCAACTCTTATTTAAGAAAAAAAAAAAAAAAAATTTTTTGTAGGTTAGACATTTCCTTTGATACAAAAAACGAACCAAAATCCAATAGCTTTGATGTAACAGTTTTATAGAAAGCCTCATGGAAGATAGAAGAACAGTCTCTTCTGCTTACCGGCAGATTCAAAAATATACTGGAATAGAATATAACGGCATTTCTCCACGAGCTGCGAAATATAAGTAGTCCAATTCCAATTGCAGGGCCAATTAGTTATAAACAATTAGGTTTCAATTATAAACGATGTGAAGGTCAGGCCAAATCAAATCAAAGAAAAAATTTTTTCTAGCAATAATTAATGGGATGTGATCTTTTAACTAAATATATGACTTAAATTGAAACACAAATTCATGACCATTAATTTATTGCCATCCAACGGATATTAGATGGAAGTTGGAGGTGGTAATTTTTTGTCACTTCATCCACTTTTAAACCGTTGGATTGTTATGAATCAACGGTTGAGAATTTGTGTAGAATTTAAGTCATAATTTAAGTTAAAGATCTCAACCTATAATATACCGTCAAAGGTCGAAATATCTTTTCTGTTTGAGTTCTGCCATTTGGACAGTTGTTTCTTCTGGTTGTGATGCTAACGCCTCTGCAAGAGCAATTCAAGACATGAGTTAGTATCGGAGAGATGAACATCACCCAGGGAATTTCATAACCAGATTGCATAGTAAAAGCAATGATCACTTTGCCTAACTTGATGTAAAACAAGTTCAACTCAGTTATTGTTACCTTTTCATTCACTTCAACGATATATCAGTTTCAAATCCCCGCAAAACTGCAAAGAAGATTCAAACTCTTCTGTCATACCCATTTTTGCCTAAATTAATGGAAGAAAAATGAATCTGCATCATGAAACAATAATAATGTCTGCAATTATAATCAATAGGCAACCTCTTTATGAAGATCCAGCCACCGTGGAGACTCGGAATGAAAAACAGGCCAGGTATCAATATTAAACTGGCAATATTCCTGAAAAAGAAAGAAAAAGATGGCAAAGTTCTGTCTGAAGCAATAATAAATGATGGCAAAATACTAAAATCACAAGTTGCAGAAATGTTCCTCCTAGAGAGTAAGGTATCAGCAGATATAAAGTTTCAGTTCAATAACAACATGACTTGACAATGTGACAGAAAAAAGGAAGGATTTTAGAATATAGGTATTTTGTTGACACCCAGAAAGAATTGCAGTATCGCGAGAAATTGTGCTCCTAACTGGCACCCAGTTAACTCTGTCAACAGCGAGACTTTATAATAATTTTGAGATTGTGCTATAATTAAATGCCTTGATATTGGCTAACGAGAAGCAATTAGGCAAAAAAGATACAGTCTGTCCTATCAATTAAAGTAAATGATCGGATTCAAACAGTGAGAATTTAGAAACCAATACGTTAAGGGTAGTAAGAATCTTTGGTTTCATTGCTCATCTACAAAGAACTATAGCCAGTATGTACACTTCTTCTCTATATACCCTTTTTAAAGATGGCAAAAGATTTCATCCATAATGGGGTAAAAATATTTCCAGACTGGAGTTGATAGACTTAAAAATTACTAGTACTGCAAGTATTCTCCATTGAACAAAAAGTCCAGCAAATAAGCCAGCATTATTCCAAGGTGACAGAGAGCTACACAAAATGCATTTTGTCAAGTAATTCAGCGCGATTTGGTTTATTTTTAACACCAAATCATATTGCTATAGCAAGCAAAAAAACACCCTGATTCACTGAACCCAAGGCCTCTCAAGTTCTGAGGCGCTATCTCGATAGTATACGGGCACCTAGAAAAGGCCAACAAATATCATCAAAGGGTTTTACACAAATGTTTAACTGAATAACACACAATCAAAGCGCAAGAATTACCGTATAAGAGAAAATTCCTACACCAAAACCTTCCAACAATCTCCCCAAGTAAAGAAAAGATGAATCCTTCACAAAGCAGCAATATAATATTAGTTTATACATCAGCTAATAAAAATGGTAAATAGAGAAAACTCACTTTGGCAAAAGATATTATAACCATCCTATGATATTAGGAACGAAGCAATCATTAAAGACTGCAAAAACACAAAACAGCAAATCAGCATCAACTAGTTAGAGAAGAAATAAACCATAAAAAGATAAAAATGAACGCTTATAGCTAATAAGCACTTATGTCCTACCCCTTTTCGCCACTATACTCAGCAATCTGACCACTAGCTATTGCCCCCAACCATAGCACCACATTAGATAAAGAACCGAAACAAGAAAACTGTAACAAGAAACCATATCAGGGACCAGATATGAAAATAAAAAAAAAATAAAAAACAGGTTGAAATCTAAAGCCAAAACAAGTTGTCGGCGGGAGAAACATGCCTTCATTTATGCTGCTTAGGAAAATTGTTACATATTTGCATCATGCAGTTTTGAAGGATAAATTTCAAAATTGAGAAAAAAAAAAAATTTGAAATTTGCAAAATGAATAATACAATATAAATGAAAAAGATGAGAAATCATCTGAAGGACCGCTGAATTTCTTCCAGAGCTTTCCCTTTTGTCTCAGGGACCAAAAAGGTCACGAATGCCACAGCAAAAGCACTAACGACCATGTATATGGTAAAGGTTCCTGTTAAAGGTTAAGGCAATCCTAGTAAGTAATAATAAAATGACAGCAATAAAGGTGTTTTCTACACTAGCCAAAACTGTTATTCTGTTAAGGCCTAAATTTTGTTTTGTGTTATAGCATTGTTAATACGAGGCAGAGAGAAAAACAAACCTCCACTGCTCCAAGTCAATAGCAAGTTTGCAGTCATTGTAACCAGCCAGGCACAAATCCAGTTGGAAAGAGTAGCTACGCTTCCACCAAGGCCCTTGATATTGATTGGAAGAATCTGCATTGACATGATAAGAGAATTATGAGTAGTAACATAAGTAGCAATCTTTCACAGGTAGAAAAGCTTGCACGGCTGCTGCACCCCAGACACGGTTTGTCCTAATTAAACAAAAATATTACAACAAATTTCATGGTTCTGACTATAACTAGCCAAAGAACGTGGTGCACAAGATGTGTATTAGAGATATAAAACCAAGTTTTGTAATCAAAGCAAGAATCTGAAATCTCAATCCTACTTAGCTCAATGGGATGGGATGATATATGAGCCAGAAATTTGAAGGTTAAATGAAAGCAAGCATCAAAATTTGTGTTAGAGATAATCAACTATACTTTCATTACAAATCAATCATGCTTCTGGTATCTAGCTATCAACAGGAAGTCATATTAGCCACTTGCATCAACAGGAAGTTGCGTTTGCCACACGGTACATATATGATGTCAAGTATAATACTCATGGCTTCCAACAAAGAAGAGGCTTTCATACTAGAACTTTGGACCGTATAATAACCAGTCCGGTTGTCTTCCAAACAGTACCATGAAGTTTTGCAAGGCTTAAAATTGACATTCAAGAACATTTGACTTCTTCTTCCTACTCATTTTAAGTTACAAAAAGATAATGGAAAATTTTTAAATGAGTCAAGGTGGTGCAGCTCCAAATCTCATGAATTTTTGCCAATGAATATATATATATATCATATAAGAGAGCGATTTGGTACCTCGACATTATAACCCAAGGAACGGGGCCCATCCCAGAGAGAAGAAAATTATCATGGCCTATGAAGAAGAACAGGTTAGGCAAGTAGTTAAACATTATCAAATAAAGATACAAGAATCAGAGTACATGTCCTGTAAAGTAGGCATACCACAACCACTACCGAAAATATGCCCAATATGCTATAAATACCAGAATCTTCCGATACAAAATCCTGGACACTTAACAATGAAATTCAAATCAGATCATGGATCAACTAGAAACAAACACAAACTTTTCAAAAGGGATTTGGTCTTCCCAGAATTATGTAAGAATGATTTCCATTACTGGTGCACGGACTTTC